TTGGTACTGTTTCTTCATTAAATGTGTGATAGAATCTACCAGTGAAGATATTGGAAGCTGGAGTTCTCTTTATATGAAAGTTTTTAATTCTGAATTATTTTTAGTAAGTAGAATTACTTATAATAGTTACTTCAGTTACTCTATTTCTTTTTGAATCAGTTTTGAAAAGTGGTGTGTTTTTAAGGAATTTTAATGTCTCATTTAAATTGGATTTATTGGCCAAAAAAAAATTGTTTTCAGTGTTATCTCATATGTTTATGAGAGATGTGTAGTGATCTTTCATATACCATTTGTGTGACCTTGGACAAATTACTTAACTTCTTTGTGCCTTAGTTTCCTCATTTATAAAATGAGATCTTAATAGTATCTTTCTCATATTGTGGTTTTAAGAATTAACTGACATAGTGTATATGTATACAATGTACTGAACAGTAACAGGCAGAGTTAGCACTGAATAAATGTTAGCTGTCAGAAATTGAAAATAGTGTAGAGATTGGATGACTCCTTGTTGATGAGATTGTGGAGGAGTCTTATGAGTCAGATAGAGAGCTTCAAGATCCTTTTTAATCTTGTGGATTTTCTGACTGTAGGAAGTAGTTAAATTCCAGTGTTATTTCAATGGATATTGAGTTCTCAGCAAGAAAGGATTTCCTTTTACAGGTATTGGCTACCCAACAATAAGGAAATATAGCAACTTGGGGAATGATGGGCTTTGATTTTCTTTCCTATTTTTGGCCTTGCCGCGAGGTTTGGGAGACCTTTAGTGCCCCAGCCAGGGGTTAAACCTGCACCCTCAGCGTGAAAGCTCAAAGCCCTAACCCTGAACTGCCAGAGGATTCCTGGGCTTTGATTTTTAATCCTTGCCTTTCTTGCACAGGAGCTCCCCTGGTGCTCAGCTGGTAAAGAACCCAGCTGCAACGCAGGAGACCCTGGTTTGATTCCTGGGTCAGGAAGATCCACTGGAGAAGGGGTAGGCTACCCACTCCAGTATACTTGGGTTTCCCTGGTGGCTCAGCAGTGCGGGAGACCTGGGTTCAGTTCCTGGGTTGGGAAGATCCCCTGGAGAAGGGAAAGGCTACCCACCGCACTATTCTGGCCTGGAGAATTCCCTGGACTGTGTAGTTCATGGAGTCGCAAAGAGTCAGACATGACTGAGTGACTTTCATTTTCACTTTTTCTTGCACAGCACTGTACATTTGTTGAATATAACTGATGTTTGTTACTTGGATCTTATTTGAATTGCTTGAAGTATTCTGTAAGATGCTTTCAAGGGAAGAATTTCTTGGCTCATATTTCTCTGCTCCATGAAGGGTGATATATATGGAATTCATATTACATACACTTTATGCCTTGCAGATTATTTTCTACACCTTTGATAAAGAGAGCTAGCCATGTTATTAGTTGTTTAGAATTTCACTGTATTGGAAGATTATCTTTTGAGTGAGAAAAGGAAAAAATATTCAGTTAGAATCTGTGTCAGGTTTTTTTCTGCAAAGGGTCAGATAAAGTTTTAGGCTTTGTGGGCCATACATACTCTGTTGTAACTATTTAACTCTGCTGTTGTGGTACAGTAGCAGCCATAGACAATAAATATGTAAATAAATATGTATGGCCACATTTCAGTAAAACTTTTATTACAAATACAGGTGGTAATGGACCATATTTGGCCTGCAGGCCATAATTTGTCAACCCTTGATCTGTGTAAGACTAACAAGAATTGCATAGCCAGAGATTTGTCTTTATGTGCCCTTATAACAGTATTTAATGGGCTAAAATTTGTCCTCTGTAACTCTTTTGTGGTGAAGATTTATCCAAGTATTCATATTGGCAAACTGTCTGGGAAATATATACCTCTGTGGCTCCTATTTTAGAGTGAGGGTGGATAACACTAAGAAACACTAAGATACAGGCTTCTGGTTCAAGATGGCAGAGTAGAAGAATGTGCACTCATCTTATCCTGCAAGAGCCCCAGAATTACAACTAGCTGTTGAACAACCATAGACAGGAGGATGCTGGAACCACCAAAAATATACCCCATGTCAAAAGACAAAGAAGAAGCCACAGCGAGTGATAAGAAGGGCACAATCACATAAAATCAAATCCCATACCTGCTGGGTGGGTGATCCACAAACTGGAGAACAATAATACCAAAGAAGTTCTCCCACTGTTGTGAAGGTTCTGAACCCCACGTCAGGCTTCCCAGCCTGAGGATCTGACAAAGGGACTGGGAATCCCCAGGGAATCTGGCCTTGAAGGTCAGTGGGATTTAATTATGGGATTTCCACAGAACTGGGAGAAACAGACTCCAGTCTTGGAAGGCATGAACAAAACCTTGCATGCACCAAGAGCCAGAGGAAAGGATCAGTGACCCCACAGGAGGCTAAACCAAAACGACCTGCTTAGTGTTGGAGCGCCTCCTGTAGAGGCATGGGTCGGGAGGGTCTCACCCCTGGGACAGGGGCGCGGGCAGCAGCAGGCCAGGAAGGCCCCCCTTGGTGTAAACCCTCTTGGACTTCTCCATTAACCCTACCATAGAGCCCGTGGACCCCAGGGCTGAGTTGCCTCAGGCCAGACAACTCACAGGGAGGGAGTGCAACCCTACCCATCAGCAGATAATTGTATTAAAGCTTTACTGAGCAGGTCCTGCTCAGCAGAGCAAGACCCAGTTTTTCCCACTGCCAGTCCCTCCCATCAGGAAGCTTACACAAGTCTCTTAGCCTCATCCATCAGAGGGCAGACAGAAGAAGCAAGAAGAAGCACAATCTGACAGTAGCTAAAACAAAAACCATATTACAGAAAGTTATGTCCCAGGTGAAGGGACAGGATAAAACCCCAGAAAAGCAACTAAATGAAGTGGAGATAGGAAACCTTCCAGAGAAAGAATTCAGAATAATAATAGTGAAGATGATCCAGGATCTTGAGAAAACAATGAAGAACATGCAAGAAATGTTTACCAAATACCTATAACAACTAAAAAACAAATAGAGATAAATAATACAATAGAAGGAATCAACAGCAAAGTAACTGAGGCAGAAGAATGGATGAATGACCTAGAGGACAGAATGATGGAAATCACTGTCACATAACAGAATATTAAAAAAAAAAAAGAATGAAAAGAAATGAAGACAGCCTAAGAGACCTCTGGGACAACCTTAAACACACCAACATTCACATTTTAAGGGTCCCAGAAGTAGAAGAGAGAAAAAGTTCCTGAGAAAATATTTGAAGAGATAATAGCTGAAAAATTCTGTAACGTGGGAAAGGAAATATTCAACCAAGTCCAGGAAGCACAAAGAGTCCCAAGGAGGAGTGCACCAAGACACATAGTAATCAAACTGACAAAAATAAAAGACAAAGATAAAATGTTAAAAGCAACAAGGGAAAAATGACAAATAATTTACACGAGAACTCTCATCATGCTATCAGCTGATTTCTCAATAGAAATGCTAAAAGCCAGAAAGGAATAGCATGATATATTTAAAGTGATGAAAGGGAAGAACCTACAACCAAGAATACTCTACCAACCAAGACTCATTCAGTTTTGATGGAGAACTCAAAAGCTTTCCAGACAAGCAAAAATTAAGAGAATTTATCCCCACCAAACCAGCTTTTCATCAGTTGCTAAAGGAACTTCTCTAGGCAGGAAACACAAGAGAAGGAAAAGACCTACAGCAAATAAACCCAAAACAATTAGGAAAATTGTAACAGGATCATACATATAGATAATTACCTTAAATGTAAATGGATTGAATGCACCAACCAAAAGACAGACTGGCTGGGTGGATGAAAACATGTGCATGTATGCATTTCCACTTACACATTGTTCTGCTTGACTTCCCAAATGTTATGTAATTATTTTATATTGTTAAGCTAATCATGTTCCTATTATGGCTTGCAGTTGTAATTACCTTTTATTTTTTTGTCTGGCTATTGATTGTGAAAACTGATAAACATCTTTACTGTTGTGATTATGTAGCTATTACTTAATACTGTTGTATCATGATTGGTCAACAGAAAAATAATAGAACCTATATCACCAAAACTAGGATTCAATAGAAAAAGCTGTAATCACTTTTTCAAATCAGAATTATCCATTTTTTGAAAAATACAAATGCCCAGGTATTGCTTTTTTTTTCTCCAGAGCTCCAGATATGTTTCTAATAAGTCATGTTTAAAAGCAACTGGACTATGTGATGATCTTTTACTTTTATCTAGTTTGTTCACTTTTTCTGTTTCATATTCAGTGTTCCCATTTCATTTAGCTTGTTCTCCAATTTCTTCATCTCTTCTCTTTTTTTTGATGTTCTTTCTCAAGCATAGTAGGAAAGCTTTTGTATATATATTATACATAATATGTATAATATATATATTTTAGAAAATTTACAAATTTTTGCTGAACTGAAAAATTTATGCCATTTTGATTCCACTTGTTTGACTTAGTATGACTAGAATGCTAGGTTTCTAATTTTAAAAAATAGATATGCAACAAGCAACAAAGGTTTACTGTATAGCACAGGTAACTATAGTCAATATCTTGTAATAACCTACAATGGAAAATAACTTTAAAAATAATATATGTGTATATGTATAGCTGAATAGCCTTGCTGTGCCTTTGAAACATGTTAGTCCACTATACTTCAATAAAATATATATATTAAGAAAAAGAACCACTAAGATTCAAGACAGTCTAACAGGTTGTCATTTCTGTTCACTAATTTATTCAGCAAATCTTTATAGAACACCTACTATTTACTTAACACTGTTCCAGGCTCTGAATATACTTTGTTGAACAAGATCTTTGTTAGGCCATCATGAAATACATACTCAAGCTGGTACACTAAAATTGGTCAGGTTAGTTCGTGCATGTTATATACTTTCATAAGCCACATTGTGTCAAGCACTATGTTACCACCTGTTTTTAGAAAATTACTGTCTATAACACTTTCCTTGTATGAGAATGATTACAGATTCCAATGAAAATTCCTTCATTTTTATTTAAGAAAAGAAAAGAAAGGGAACAAAAAATTAATAAAGAAATGAAAGAAAAAGCAGCAAAGGAATTGGAGAAAGAACATTTACAAGAAAAAGCAAAGGAAAAATATCAAGAATGGTTAAAGAAAAAAAATGCTGAAGAATGTGAGAAGAAGAAGAAAGAAAAGGTATTTTCACTAAGGTGATCAGTTAGAATACATGACTTGGTGTTTATATGTGCCAACTATATTGTGTAATGAATTTCTAATGGAAAATTGGCATTATCTTAATAATATAAATACATGTAGCTAGACTGAAAATTGTTAATAAGTCTATTGATACTCCTGCAGTCAGGTGCAAGCTTTTTACTGTTGTTTATGGTTTTAAATATTATTCAGTGTACTTTATGGAAAGTTTTATTACATTATTATAAATTACTGTTCTATTTTAAAACAACAAATTGCTTTTTTCTTCTTGGATTTAATATCATTGTTGAGAGGCAGCCACTTTCATATCACATCCCTGATCATGTTAAATTTTGCTCTCTAATTATAGAAATATGATTCAGTGTTTCTGATCAGTAAGCCATTGGGATGGGGAGCTACTGGGGAGTAAGTCAGTAGACTCTGAATAGAACTTTTAGTTACAGAATATCCCTGGAGATTCTTTGGTCTTGTCATTTTAAGGAAAAAGAAAAACAACGGCAGGCTGAATTACAGGAGAAAAAGGAAATAGCAGAAAAAAAGTTTAAGGAATGGTTGGAAAATGCAAAAAATAAACCTCGTCCAGCTGCAAAGAGCTATGGTTATGCCAATGGAAAACTCACAGGTTGGTTTTTATGTTATGTGGCTTACATAAATATGGCTTGCAGGAGTGAATATTATACATTATGTTTCCTTTTGACAGAAATAGAAGTGTGTAAAAATCATTTTTCTTTCAAATTACTATTTTCTGGAAGATTATAACATATTGTGTTCCTGTGGAGATACTACAAATTTGTTGTCATTCTCTAAAATCAGATACATTTTAAAGGCAACAGTGGCAAAACTGCAAAGTAATGATTTCTAACGTTAAGAAATAAGTAAAATTTTTACATTCCTTGGATCTTAAAGCCTTAATCAGGATATATTTAAGGGGTCATTTTCTTTCCCTTTTCTAACCCTCTCCGAGGCAGGGTTCCCAGTGTCTTTGGCTCATTATTTCTGCAGGGTGGAATCTAGATGGCACATGAGCCAGACGCAGACCTGGTTGGCTTTTTTGGCCTGGTCTGATTATAAATGGCAGTGTGTGTTTTCCTTTGTACTTCCACGTTGGAAGCTCATACCTTGCTGACAGCTGCCTTCACTTGTTTAAGTGATTTATTATTAAAAATGCTCCCATTCTGTTTTGTTCACACAATAGAACATATTCCAGACTTTGTTTTGGCCATCGCGGTGAAGTGTGTGTTGACATATGCATGCAGTCAGAGTGGGTTGCCAGTGTCTGAATGACACATTCCTACTGTCAGGATTTAGGCCTCTCCCACATGTCACAAAGGTCATCCATTACAGCTACTGAGCAGAGTCTGCTCCTTTATTTTGCTCTCTTGTTTGAGATAAGTAGTGGTTTTAACAAAATGATTGGATAGTAAAGCTAAAACCTAGATGGAATATATGTATTGACTAGAACTTAATTGCTAAATAATGGATTATTTTACCAAATTTGTGTTTAAGTATTATAATAAACATCATAGTCTGAAAATGCCCTACTGCTCTTAATTACAAAACTAGAGTGTATGAAATCTGCTTAATGAGTGACAATGATTTAGACTTTCAGTGGTTCTGAACCACAATCTTGATTCACTTTAGCTACATATGCAACATACATTTTTTCCTGCAAGCTTTAATGTCCAACTAGGGGAAACTAGTACATAATCAGAAGTTTCCCAGACTGAAATAAGAAAATGAAGATTTTGTTCAATTTAAGGGTTCTAAAATTAACTTCTTAGAAGAAATTTTATATGAGTTTTTAGTTTTGAACATTAATGTTCTTTGAATTTTCAGAATTATCATTTATATTTTAACTTATACCATAATATTAACTGTATTTGAAAAGTATTGTTTGAAAATATTTGAGTTCAAGTTTTAAATGAGTCAGGTTTATCAGTGATATTCTTGCCCTTTTAACATTTTAACATTTTTCTATGAATTTTAAAATAGTTTCTTTGATTTCAAAAAGTTTTTCTTGTTTTATTCTGATTTTTAAATAATTTTAGGTTTTTACAGTGGGAATTCTTATCCAGAACCAGCCTTTTATAACCCAATTCCATGGAAACCAATTCCTATGCCTCCTTCTAAAGAAGTGAAGGATCTATCAGGAAAGAAGACTAAAAGGCCTGTGATAAGCCAGCCTCATAGGGCATCCTCTCTGGTAATGCATAAAGCTAGAAGCAATCTTTGCCTTGGAACTCTATGCAGAATACAAAGATAGTAGATGTGGGAAATTGCATGCTTTTACCTGGAGCTACTTAATTTTAACATCAGAAATTGTTGTTTTGTTGCTCTACTATTAGTTGCTCAACATTTGATGTATTATTGTTACGTTCACATTTTTGCATTTGTTTATGGAGTCCTTAGAGTTAATTTAGGAAGATATTTTATTCATTTTTATTTTTATAAATGCTTCAAGGTTGATCTTGGAATATTGTTTTGCAAGATAAATGACAGAATATCTAACAATTGTGTTTATATTTAGCTTATATTAAAACTACCCTCTAAATACCAATAAAACAATTTTTCGTGTATTCTTTCATACACAGGTTATGTGTTTGTGTTTATGAACATAGTAAGAATAAGTCATTGAAACAAGCATTTCTAAACTGTATGCTCAAAACAATTCTTAGAAGAATCTAAAATGAGTTAGAATCCTGGAGTAATCAAAAACAGCCTTTGTTGATGACTTTTAGTATGTTTTTCCCTCTACAAATATTTGTAAATCACTAACTGGAATCATGTTTGGTAATGGAGAATTGGGTTTTGAAAGGACAATTTACAAACATTGTTTTGGGCTCTCAATCTTAATTGATTGTAGTAATCTTTGGACACTAATATATTTTGCTATACTTTGTACATATACTTACACATTATAATTAGGTTGTTAATTTTGAAATTAGGAATGTCTGCTTTATTTTTTAATGTAAAATGTTGTCATGTTTTATTAAAGTTGAAATTAAAAAAATCTTTATTATAAATACTTGTTAAGGAAAGTAGATCAAAAGATTACTAAAATAACACTCAGCCCTTATTAAATTTTACAAGTCTGTATCTTTTTTTAGGGGGCCATCAAGAAATGAAAATTTGTGGTGGCAATATAAAAGTTCAGTAAGTTCATTTAAAAGTGATTCTTATTTAGAATACATTCCATGTTTCTGCGAGGTTAGTCATCTGCCAAGTTTTTGGTGATTAACCTGCAGTGGTATTGGTCAGTGCCAGGAAACAGCAATGGGATCTTTTGAAGGATATTTTTATCATCAGAAATCTAGAAAAATGCACTTTTAAAAAAATTTCTTGTTCATGTACGTCTGTGAGCCCCATAAGGACTGAGCACTCAGCCTGAATGATCATTCAGTTCAGCCATCTTCATTTGGTTTTGTTTTATTTTTTTCACTTCTAAGTGGAGAACAGTTTAGGAGGAAATCAGTCAAGTTTGTTGCGTCAAAATGTTGCTGAAATTTAGAGACCTAACCATCCTTCTCATAACCTCTTAGATACAGTGCAGCTTCCAGGTGATCATTCTACTCAACTAAATTCACCTGTGTACTGAGACTGTAGAATTTGCCAGGGTAGCAATAAACTTGCATATGAAAAACAGCATACATAGGCCAGTATTCCTGGGGGTTTAGATATAACCTTAATCCTACTAACACTTTTCATTCAGTCAGTATTAGTTTGACCAATATTAGTTGAACATGTGAGGCAGATGTTTGCATATTGATTTAGCAATTGGAATGATATATTTTATCCAGCAAACATTTGTAACCTAGCCAGGAAAACCGAGTAAATGCTATAATACTGTTTACTTAAAATCACGCTCAGAATTCAACTGGAAACACAGATAGAAGATAGTTCAGCTTGAGACAGGATTAAGAAAAACTACAGCAAGAAGGTAACATTTGAGTTGGTGAAAGATAAGCAGGAATTTTCTAGATGGTTATGAGGCTGACCACATTCATGAATATGTGATGAGAAGTAGCTGGGGAAGAAGCAGGGCTCAGAGTAAAAAGGCTCTGTATACTGCAGAATTTGGACTTGATCCTGTGGACTTGTGAGAACCTGTTTTACTATCCGAATGGTTCATTTTTAAAAGATGTTTGACTGCCAAACATTTATTACTGAAAGTCCATTTTTGTTCATCAAAGACTTCTTCATTCAATACACCGAATACTAGATTAGTGTTTTAAATGGAATCAATTTTTCTTAAAGTCAAGATACTTGCTATAATAGATATTATAAACTATAGTAACAATATTTGAAAGTTCTATTAAGGTTTTTAAACTGTCTCTTTGACTTCTACTACTACTTTGATTGGAACTGCTCTAAAATATCTAGATAACCTATAGCATCAGCAAATTCGTGATCTGATAGAAAAGAATTCAGGCATTACAGACCTGCTTTATGTTTGCTTATCTCAAAGGTACCTTGTTTTTTTCAATGTTCAATACCTTATCTAATTGATAGAAGCTTACTGTGGGAATGTAAAATAAGTGGAAGTACCAAAAAATGCAAGTTTGTTTCTTTTTGGATGGTGACAATTCTGATAAGATGCACCAGTATTCTTTCTTTAGTGATCATTGATGTACATAATACCTGACTTTGGTTAACATACCAATCTTGATTCTTGATATATCAAAAATAAGTTAATTTGTTAGCACTTAGGGTGAACTTCATTAACAATTGTTCTAAGGGCAAAAAGTGAAGATGTCTTCAAATTGCTTTGGTAAGTATTTACTGAATACTGTGCAAGCTAGTATTCTAGATGTCAAAGGTTCATCTGTGAATAGGAGAGGATCCCTGCTGCCCAAAAGTTATTATATGACAGTGATAGGGAACAGATAGTAAAATATGTAAACAAATTATTTGTCTCTGGGTGCTATAAAAAAAATAAAACAGAGTAGTGGGATAAACCCCAAAGAAAGGCAGTGCCAAAGAAAGTTCAAACTACTGCACAATTGCACTCATTTCACATGCTAGCAAGGTATGCTAGCATGCTCAAAGGCCTTCAAGTGAGGCTTCAGCAGTATGTGAACCAGGAACTTCCAAATGTACAAACTGGATTTAGGAAAGGTAGAGGAACCAGAGATCAAATTGCCAACATCCAGTGGATCACACCAAAAGTAAGAGAATCCTAGGAAAACATCTACTACTGCTTCATTGACTATGCTACAGCCTTTAACTGAGTGGATCACAACAAACTGTGGAAGATTCTTAAGAGATAGGAATACCAGACCACTTTACTTGCCTCCTGAGAAACCTGTATGCAGGTCAAGAAGCAATAGTTAGAACTGTACATGGAACAACCGACTGGTTCAAAATTGGGAAAGGAGTACATCAAGGCTGTATACTGTCACCCTGCTTATTTAACTTATATGCAGAGTACATCATGGGAAATGCTGGGCTGGATAACTCACAAGCTGGAATCAAGATTTCCAGGAGAAATATCAACAAGCTCACATGCAGATGACCATTATATCTACTACTGTGGGCAAGAATCCCTTAGAAGAAACAGAGTAACCCTCATAGTCAATAAGAGTCCAAAATGCAGTACTTGGATGCAATCTCAAAAACAGCAAAATGAGCTCGGTTTGTTTCCGAGGCAAAGCATTCAACATCACAGTAATCCAAGTCTATGCCTCAATCACTAATGCCGAAGAGGCTGAAATTGAATGGTTCTATGAAGACCTACAAGACCTTCTAGAACTAATACCACAAAAAGATGTCCTTTTCATCATAGGGGACTGGAATGCAAAAGTAGGAAATCAGGAGATACTTGGAGTAACAGGTTTGACTTCAGAGTACAAAATGAAGCAGGGCAAAGGCTAAGAGAGTTTTGCCAAGAGAACGCACGGGTCATAGAAGACACCCTCTTCCAACAGTGCAAGAGACAACTCTATACATGGACATCACCAGATGGTCAATACCGAAATCAGATTGATTATATTCTTTGCAGCCAAAGATGGGGACACTCCAAACAGTTGGCCAAAACAAGACTGGGAGCTGACTGTGGCTCAGATCATGAACTCCTTATTGCCAAATTCAGACTTAAAGTGAAAAATGTAGAGAAAATCACTAGACCATTCAGGTATGACCTAAATCAAATCCCTTATGATTATACAGGGGAAGTGACAAATAGATTCAAGGGACTAGATCTGATAGACAGAGTGCCTGAAGAACTATGAATGGAGGTTTGTAACATTGTACAGCAGGCGGTGACCAAAACTATCCCCAAGAAAAAGAAACACAAGGCAAAATGGTTGTCTGAGGAGGCCTTACAAATAGCTGTTAAAAGAACAGAAGTGAAAGGCAAAGGAGAAAAGGAAAGATACCCATTTGAATGCTGAGTTCCGAAGAATAGCAAGGAGAGATAAGGAAGCCTTCTTAAATGTCCAATCCAAAGAAATAGAGGAAAACAATAGACTGGGAAAGACGGGAGATATCTTTAAGAGAATTAGAGATACCAAGGGAACATTTCATTCAAAGATGGGCACAGTAAAGGACAGAAACGATATGGATCAAAGAAGCAGAAGAGATTAAGAAGAGGTGGCATGAGTACCCAGAACTGTGCAAAAAAACGCCTTATTGAGCCAGATAACCATGATGATGTGATCACTCACCTAGACCAGACCTGCAGTGTAAAGTCAAGTGGGTCTCAAGGAAGCATCACTATGAACAAAGCTAGTGGAGGTGCTGGAATTCCAGGTAAGCTATTTCAGATCCTAAAAGGTGGTGCTGTGAAAGTGCTCTGCTTGGTATGCCAGCAAATTTGGGAAACTCAGCAATGGCCACAGCACTGGAAAAAGTCAGATTTCATTCCAGTCCCAAAGAAAGGCAATGCCAGAGTATGTTCAAATTACCACATAATTGCACTCATTTCACATGCTATTAAGGCAATGCTCAAAATCCTTCAAGCTAGGCTTCAACAGTACTTGAACCAAACTCCTAGATGTGCACGCTGGATTTAGAGGAACCAGAAATCAAATTGCCAAAATCGTTGGATCATAGGAAAAGCTTGCAAGAGAATTCCAGAAAAACATCTGCTTCATTGACTATGCTTAGGCCTTTGACTGTGTGAATCACAAGAAACTGGAAGATTCTTAAAGAGATTGGAATACCAGACCACCTTACCTACCTCCTGAGAAATCTTATGTAGATCAGGAAGCAACAGTTAGAACTGGATGTGGAACAACAAACTGGTTTCAAATTGGGAAAGGAGTA